TGATGAGGAGAAACAATAATGTACAGTATGTGGAAAATAATCTGTTTTTTGAACCTTAAACCGCATAAACACATTTCATTACACCAAATACACAAAATACTGTTCTTTTTAGCGGCATCATATGACCCCTTTAAAATGAGACCAATCGGACCAATCACCGCAGATTAGCGTCACGCAAAGGAAGGGTCTGGAAAAATTAATCGTTGAGCGAATCGTTTGGGAGTCGTTGAGCAAGTAAGGTAAAAATAAATGCATATTATAAGACAATGAAAGTGTTTTTTGACATTGCATGCATGTCAACCTGTTGTTGGGGACTCCCAAAACCAAAATATGAACCTTTCATTACCCATAATGGGGGCACTTTAACATTTATAATAAGAATCATTATTAACAATTGAGCACCAATAATAATTGATAATAACTGAGCATCAAATTACAGTATTGTTCAGAATATAAGACCCCCCCCAATCACAATCACATTTAACAATAAACACTTCATAGCATACCATAAAAATAACCTGTAGTCCATCTGAATTTGATAACAATTGCCAGGTCTGTGAAACAAAACCAGCCCAATTGCTATTCAAAACAATTTGAATAGAAACCCATGGACTTGGCAACACTGCATGTAGCCTATGTAATTGTAATTAACAGAAGAAGTGAAATCATATTGTAGTCTTGAAATCAGCCTGAGAGAAAAAACAGTAGTGCAATAAACGGTTTAAACTGGCCTCACTTGGCTCCTCAGATCATCATGTTATTCATGTCAGTCATTAGTCTATTCTTCTGCCTCTCTGGGTTCACTCTCACTATCATCACTCTCATGCTCTGGCTCCACCGGCTCCTCTCACAGAAGGTCATCCTCGCTCCCATCCAAAGCATCTGAGATGCAGCATCTTTTGAAGCAGCTGATGATGCTCTCCGGGGGCACTGCAGCCCATGCCTGGAGGATCCGATCACAGAGCAGCCTCACTGCAGGCTTCTGTATTTTTCCAGATGGTGTGGGTGTGTGATTGCCAGACAGCAGCCACTCTGTGTATCTCTTGCACAGATTATCTTTGAATGGCTTTTTTACCACTACATCCAACACCTGTAGCTGACTTGTCATCCCTCTGGTATGATCACGAGGTCACCGTTCATTGCCTGCAGTTGAGTTTTGACAGGTGACATGTCCACCGAAAATGCAGTGACAGATGGCAGATGTTGGCATGTCAAAAAACACGTGTTTGATTCACATTGAATGTCCAATCCAGCCATCGTCTAAACGTTACACTCTGACGCACCATATTTCCTGGCTGCTTGAGAGTTGTTTGTGTTTATCACCATGAGCTTAAGTTTGCATCATAACCAGTCCTCAGTCGCTGGTTCACTTGCTTGACTTTTAAACTGCTGTGTTCAGGACAGTCACTCACCATCATGCAGTCCCCTGGCACTGTAAATTTGTTTGTAAAAATGTCATTTTATACATATTTGGCGCCACCTATTGTTGCATGTGTATTGTTGATGTGATCTGATTTTTCAACCCCATTTCTTTCAGCTTTATTTCCATGAAAAAGCACTGCCTCGTATTCTGAACAATACAGTAGCATATTACAGCTTAAGTTTGCATCATAACCAGTCCTCAGTCGCTGGTTCACTTGCTTGACTTTTAAACTGCTGTGTTCAGGACAGTCACTCACCATCATGCAGTCCCCTGGCACTGTAAATTTGTTTACAGGGCCAGCTTGCTTCAGTGCTGTGGGGAATGCTCATTTTATACATATTTGGCGCCACCTATTGTTGCATGTGTATTGTTGATGTGATCTGATTTTTCAACCCCATTTCTTTCAGCTTTATTTCCATGAAAAAGCACTGCCTCGTATTCTGAACAATACAGTAGCATATTAGAGTGATTTCTGAGGAATTACAATCATGAGAACTTTAGTGTTTTCACCTTTTTAAGTCAGTTATTTCTAACTGTGCCAGTAGGAAATATCAGTTTACATTTCCAAACATTTATTTTGCCATTAATTGTAATAATCCAGTGAGATTTTTGTCTAACAATAGGCAGCGCTCCAGAGATCTTCTGAGGAATTACAATCATGAGAACTTTAGTGTTTTCACCTTTTTAAGTCAGTTATTTCTAACTGTGCCAGTAGGAAATATCAGTTTACATTTCCAAACATTTATTTTGCCATTAATTGTAATAATCCAGTGAGATTTTTGTCTGACAATAGGCAGCGCTCCAGAGATCTGATCTGATCTGATCGTCATCAGTCTGTCTGGAATGACATGAAGAAACAGAACAAACTGAGGCAGACTCAATCCAGAAGAACTGTGGAAAACAATCAAACATTTATTTTGCCATTAATTGTAATAATCCAGTGAGATTTTTGTCTAACAATAGGCAGCGCTCCAGAGATCTGATCTGATCTGATCATCATCCAGTCTGTCTGGAATGACATGAAGAAACAGAACAAACTGAGACAGACTCAATCCAGAAGAACTGTGGAAAACAACGTCTCCAAGATGCTTCAAGAAACCTACCTGCAAAACTCCCTGAAAAACTATGCGCAAGTGCACCGAGGGCAAAAGCTGCTTTAAACACAAAGGATGCTCACATCAAATGTTGACTTGATTTAGCTAATAGAAGTTAACTGATAAAGAAAATCTATTTATGACATTATTTTTGACAGCATCCTCATTTTACAGCATTAACAGTGCTGTAGCTTTGCATCATCAAAAAGTCATAATATTTATATGGCAGAAAAAGTAAGGGCGGTATATTAACTTCTTATACATACACACCAGCGACAATGTACAGGCTGTCTCCCTCTGTGCCCTCTCGGATGATGTCCTCACCAGGCCGACAGTCCAGAACCTTCATCAGATCGACCATCATACTGATCTGCTCCTCATCCAGACGACGGAGGAAGTCATTCTTATGAATGGCCTTCACAATCCGAGCCTTCTCACTGATGGCCAGACACACATAAACAAAGCATAACCTTTGGGGTTAGTAAAAACAAAAGCATCTATTAAGTTATTTTGAGACTGCTGTTAAACTAGGCCTTGTTCAGACTGTCAGTAAAAATCGGATTTTTTGCATATCCAGATATTGTACAGATTTTGAAAGTCTGGACCGCAAAAAAACAAACATAAAATTGTTGTTCAAATATGATGTAAACACATATGGAGGTGGCTTGAGTCCGATTTTTACGATGCATCTGAGTCTGGATGCTGTGGTTTCTCAAATCAGATTTAAATATATAGTTCAGTCATGAAACTCTAGATGGACGGGTTGTTAATGTAACTGATGATATTCAGAGAGTTAAACGACTTGGCACAGCTGATTGGATCATGCTGCATTTGCAGCCAATGAGCTTACTGCCTTGCATTTATATGGCTGGCTAGCATTCACTAGAGATTCCTGCAGCGCGCTTTCAGAGTTTCTCTGAAACCCTCCATCTTCCCCAGCTCCACCTGTATAGATCTGCTACGGGTTATTTTATATGCTATTTGTGCAGCAGCAGTATGTCTTAAATACTCACGGCACCGTATCGCCGTATGCATTGGCAGTAGCAAGTTCCTGTTTTTGCTTGGAGCAGCAGCAATAATCTACAACTACAGCAATAACCAACAGCAGCAGTAATTCAGCAGCAGCAGTGTAGCAGATCTATTCTGCCAAGACCAAATACATTAACATTGTCATATCCATCACCATGCTAAAATCTCTTTCGACACACAACGATAATGTCAGTGATGGAAATGCCAGAAGTATTCATACACTATCCAAACAAAGCTGAAGACGGCTGTGACTACAGCATGTAACCTCACAATATACACCGATTTCCTCCATCATAAGTTTTTCTTGTATGACAGAGTTCTGCACTGTGACATGGCAGACATTGGAGGTCGAGATGATGCACCTCTATTTTTCATGCATCTGTTTTGAAAGCCTCGTCACATGTGTGAGTACGTCTGTGAGGCAACCAGAGCAACCCATGCAGATAAGTTGGTTATGTCTGGATACGCAAATCTGATTTGATCACATGCATTTACATGCTGGACAATCTGTACTGAAAAGAGCTGATTTGAGAAAAAAAATCCAATTTGCCTGCAGTCTGAACACAGCCTTAGATTCCCAGGGTTCTTGATTAGTATGTGTTTTAAGTTACCTGGCAGTTTTATTGACTCTGTTGGCAGTGATTTCCAGGACTTCTGGTACTCGCTCCGGAGCCATGACAGCTGCCCGACTCTGTCGAACCTCAGGCATTTCATTACTGTTTTGTTGAGGTGCACAATCTGACAGGGAACATTAGAAGTGAGTCAATGTATAAAACTTATAAAACTTTATACACACTAACGACCAGACTGAAATGATCAGGGATATTACAGGGATTTTTTTATTATACAGATTGGCAGATGCTACACAGAAGTAACTAGTTACATGTAACTAAATTGTGTAATTTAATTACAAAATGAATGTAATTGGAATCTGTTACAGTTACTAAGAAAAAATGAATGTGTAAATTACAATTACTTATGAAAATGTTAACGATTACAAAGGGGGTTACATCTGAATTTTTTTCACATACACCCACATACAGATTTAATTGATTTCTTTCATAAATTGCATTGACTGCTCTAAAATATGACATGCAGGACAGGACACATGCTTTTTCAATAACTGTTTTACTTCCTATTTGGGTGTATGTATATGTTATATTTGTTTGAGATTAACCATTTTTTCCAAGCCATTGTTAGATGCCAGTGTTTCCTGTCATATAGCTATGCAAAGATTTGATTTCAAAAACAGTATCATAGCTATTAAATTATATCTTGCTATGGTTTTAAATCTGTATTTAACCCCAGAATGATCTCAAAGTAAGTCAGATTTTGTGGTGGCTGTGCTTTAAAGTTAAATTATTATAATATTATCTCAAGTGATGGAGGATTTTGAAAGTGACAGTAATCAGTGTTGAATACTACTGTAAGGCTTACATGTTTGGAAATGATTAACAGTTGAAAACAATGTAAATTTAGAAAAATAATCAAAAAGTAATCTAATGTAATCAGTTGCATTACTTAAAGTAATTGAAATTGTTACACTACTTATTACATTTCAGATTGGGTAACTTGTAATCTTTAACCTATTACATTTCCAAAGTAACCTTCCCAACACTGTTCGCCAACCAAAAGTCTGTTATTAATAACATATGAAGGAAGCAGATGAAAGAGGATGCAGATAATATTCATTAGTCTGTTCTGTCTTACCAAGCTCATCCAGTTGTCCTTGCAGCACCTGTAACAATCTCTCTTTCTGTTCAAGCTGTCTCTCTGTAAGAAGAAAACAATATTCTAGTGTGCATTAAAATCGCATACAAATGTGCACTCATCAGATAAACAGTGAAAGAAGTCACGGCTCGGATCTAGTCTTACTCAGCTCTTTGTTCTGGTTCTGGAGTTCCTGGTTGAGCTGGCATTCTTTCTCCAGCATTTGTCGTAATTTCTTGAGTTGGACTTCCATTGGCCTGGTGAGATTCACCTTTACTAGAGCAGCATGACACTGACAAAGAGCAGTAAAAACTCACACGTCACACTGACTGACAATTAATATGTAACTGCAACCTTTAAAAAAAAATGTAAAAATGCAGATTTGCTGAACCAGTCTTCAAAATTATGAATGACCATCAGTTACAGTGACAAAACACACAACAAAAACATTTTAGGAAGACTAAATTAAAACACAGATCTTATAATTGGAGGAAAAAAATCTGAGATGTTTTTATCCAGATGTGTTCAAATGAATGGGATTGGCATAAGTCTGCGAAACACAGATTTAACCTCTTGTTCTGACCCAATAGTGATTTAGTGTCTAAGTTGTATAGATTCATATAAAAGGTATAAAATTTGCATCGATTTGTCTTTGCAAAGTAATCATGCCAAATATGAAACCAGATTCAGGAGCATTTAGGATTCATGTTGTAGTATATAGTTACTAAACCAGTCCATCTGGAAATAGTGTTTACAAAGTACCGAGTTTATATAAACAAGCACTTTTGAGAAACATATAATCACAGTTATAAGGTTTGCAGGTTAGTGGATTAAAAAAAAAAAAGTTAAAAAGCAACAATACTGTTAAATTATTGCCATACAGTTTTGTAAGTAATTTAGAATGATCTGATACCATGGATTCTCACGTGATAAAATCCACCTTTTGCACCAACTGCACACATCCCTGCAAACAAGCCTGCACTGGCCCTTTACAGGCTGCCAGTGCAGGGCCCCTGAGAATTTGCTCATTGGCAAAATGTTGGCCCCTTAGCACTGGCCCTGCATGGGCAGCCCTCACTTAGCCTCCAGGAAGCCTTAGTGCGGTTTTATTGAAAATAATAAAGTTTGAAATCACCGTTATGGAGATAAGCGCTTGCTTTAGTTGTGCTCTTTACCCTTAACTTTAATGTTTCTTCGTCATCAGTTAGGAATCTAGGTGTTTTATTTGATAGCAATCTTTTCTTAGAAAGCCATGTTTCTAGCATTTGTAAAACTGCATTTTTCCATCTCAAAAATATATCTAAATTACGACCTATGCTCTCAATGTCAAATGCAGAAACATTAATCCATGTGTTTATGATCTCAAGGTTAGATTATTGTAATGCTTTATTGGGTGGTGGTTCTGCACGCTTAATAAACAAACTCCAGTTGGTCCAAAATGCAGCAGCTAGAGTTCTTACTAGAACCAGGAAGTATGACCATATTAGCCCGGTTCTGTCAACACTGCACTGGCTACCTATTAAACATCGTATAGATTTTAATATCTTGCTTATTACTTGCTTATTAAAGCCCTGAATGGTTTAGCACCTCAGTATTTGAACGAGCTCTTGTTACATTATAGTCCTCCACGTCCACTGCTTTCTCAAAACTCTAACAATTTGATAAAACCTAGAATATCAAAATCAACTGCTGGCGGCAGATCCTTTTCCTATTTAGCGCCCAAACTCTGGAATAACCTACCTAACATTGTTCGGGAGGCAGACACACTCTGTCAGTTTAAGTCTAGATTTTAAGACCCATCTCTTTAACCTGGCTTACACATAACACACTAACACATTTCTAATATTCAAATCCGTTAAAGGATTTTTTAGGCTGCATTAATTAGGTCAACCGGAAAAAAACGCATAAAATTCAAACCATTGATGTTTGCCTACAAAACTACCACTGGCTCTGCACCTCTGTACCTAAATTCACTATAGACTTATATGCACATTATTGTGCCATCCCAACGAAGCACAAAATCACTTTCACATTAACCTGGTGGTGGAATGACCTGTCCAACTCGAGTCTTTCAGCCATCTTCAAGAAACAGCTAAAGACATCTCTTGAATCTACACTCGACCCTTTCTCTATTCTGTTTCTAAAAACAAAAACAACCATTGCTACACTCTTAAAAATGAATGTTCTTTATTGGTATGAATGGTTCTATGGAGAACTTTGAACATCCATGGGACCTTTCAAATGCAGAAAAGGTTCTTTAGTCAAAAAAGGTTCTTTAGATCCATTCCGGGGCCCCCCCTCCCCCTTGGAATCGTCCTAACCTCCCCCCCGCCTTACTGCTCGTCTCAGCACTTACATATTGTTGCTCTTTTGTTGGTTTGATTGCTTCTATTGTCCTTATTTGTTAGTTGCTTTGGATAAAAGTGTCTGCTAAATGATTAAATGTAAAGTAAATGTACTAGCAGGTTGTTTTAGGTAACATTAACAATAGTACCTACAGTGCATGATTATTGTAGGTTCTAGTGAAGTTGTAACTCCTGGTTCACTTGTTGGCTGCTGGGGGCCAACTAAGGGCTCGGACACAATTCAAACACTGGTGCTTTAAAGTAAACTACGCAGCAGAAGTTCCATGAGTGTGAAATAATCATAGGGCAAGATGGGATCATATTAAAAATCCCATCTTTTAAAAAAAAGAAGATAAAATTAGTTTTATTTTAATAAAATTAAAATGTTATTATAAGTCATTATGCATTCTGTAAAACTTTACCTATGGGGAGCATCTTGTAGTGGGGTTCTTCAAATAATTTTACATTTTGTGATATGACAACTAAATTAGTGAATGTTTATGTTTATTTCCCTTCATTCCATCAGCGAATGTGTCATCGGCCATCACCAGAAGGATAGAAATTATAATTACAAAGTACATATCTTCCTATCATTTCTTCAGTGTTTTTTCCACAGCCAGAAACAAACAGACACTGTTTTACAACCATTTCTGAGTTTCATTTTTATCCCCGTGCACGGTCTGTTATTGTAGTATTGATCAACTTGATTCTAAATGTCATATAGAAACAAAACAAACTGTAAAAAAAAAAAAAACTCATTCTAAATGGACACTTTTGGACAGTGTCTTCCTGTTGACACGGAGACAGATCACCAGTGAAGACCTTGTCTCTTAGACGGCCATCAGGACAAGACCACAGGAACCAGATGAGTCCTCTGCACAATCTGACTTTGCTGCAGCCTGGAATTGAACTGCTGGTTTGCCTGGTGATATTGTCGACTTGATTGCACAGATACTATTTAAACTGAGCTGAGCTGGATGATGAAATCCCTGAATTCAATGATGAACTGCCTTTAACTGAAAATTGAGTGTTTACTATTGTCATTTTGCATTATTGACACACTATTTTCCTATTTAATACTGTTAAGTTGCTTTGACACAATCTGTATTGTTAAAAGCGCTATATACTGTATATAAAGGTGACTTGACTTGACTTGACTTGACGTGGATGGTTCTTGGCCAGAATAAGCTACAAAACAGGCCAGGTATTATGCTGCTAGTCAAAAGTCAAGCTAACTAGGAATGACTCCCATTCAAATGGCATCCATTTTATAAAGCAGTGCGTTGAATAGCAGCATTTCAAAACCATTGTTAACCTTTGAGGAAATGATTAGCTAGCCTTATTACCCTCTATGCTGTACACTTTATGACTGAAGAGGCGGTCAGGGTCTACTGAAATCCTACTGGTGCCCAGCCATCATTGCTTGCTAAAGGAAATTGGAGGGTTTAGACAGGGTTGGTGGACAACATAATGGATAACACTATCGTTTATACTGGTGCAGAGATATAAAATGATCTTTGGATTAAAGCTCTCTGCCCTGTCACGTGTCTAGAATATTGTCAATTGTAAGGCGTAGTAGATAAATGGAAAGCACTTGACAACACAGATACACACTGCTAATCTGTGCAAATAATACCAGTTTGTCATCTCTGACTACAATCAAATCTCTGTTTTATTTCTTAATGAAACCTACCTGAGCCTTCACGCTCTCACTCCCTCCAGATCGGTGTGTGTTCTGGCAGAAAGATCAGCTTGATGGATAGAAATCATTAACCTGACGCTCCACCCTTCATCACAGGTAAAAAGGAAAAAGTGGTTATGCTAGAACAGAACCATAAGAACATTTCTATGCGTAGACATTAAAAGTTCAGAAGATTTACTATAGCTTTCAGTTATGTTTTTTTTTTTTATTATTAACTTCAGCCGTGTCTCCAACTCCTACCATTCATTGTAAGAGAAAAAATACACATACACAAAGGACAGTAATGGAGGCCAATGAGAAAAGCTCTTAATTTGTTATCCATTCCAAATCCTTAGTAGCCTATATTGAACAATCCTGTGCCAGTCTATCAGAGTTATTATAATGTGCCCACATGTACACACCAATGCAGGCCTGCTTACACTAAGAGTAAAGTATGCCAGCATCACATCCGCCAAACCAGTCCCTAATCAGTAATGCAAAGGAGAATTTCCAAATGTGTCAAAAACAAAGGATGTTATACAGAAATGAAAGAAAATGAAAGAATGGTTTAAAGTTTTGTGTAGCACTGAAAACACCTCTGGGTGTCACTGCAGAATCGCTTTTAATGGCAGGTCAAAAGTCACTTTTTCCACAGTGAAAATAGTTTTCCTACTGAACTCTATACTCCGACCGGTTTTGTCCAGAAGGGCTGGAGTATTTCTTACAATGACCAATAGCAAAGTCACATTCAATTTTCTCAATATTTCGATTTTTTTGGACCCTCAGATTTTCAAATAGTTCCTATCCTAGCAAACCATACATCAGTGGAAAGGTTATTTATTCAGCTTTCAAATGATGTATAAATCTCAATTTCTGAAAATTGACCCTTATGGCTGGTTTTGTGGTCCAGGGTCACATATTTCCATACCCCAGCAATGAATCAGCTCACCTGAGTATGTAGTTATCAGAAGACTTGAATAGCACACAATATTTTAACTTGTAATATGATTGTTACTAATAGTTTTAGAAAAATATGATCCTGATCCATTAATGTAATTTAAAGATAAGTGACATGTTTTTATGGGATAGTTCTGAAATAAATATCAATGTACTACAAGCACAGCTATGAGAGCTGTTACCTTATAGCACAAGCTGTCCCAGCTTAAGAACACTGGGGCTACTGCAAACCTAAGGGCCCCTTGATAGCAATCTGGGTGCCACAATGTTTTCTACCAGAGGAATATATATTTTTAAATATCCAACACAGCGATGCAATGAGTATGCATACTAAATATTTCAGGATACAAACATTAAAAGAATAAATGCATACCAGATCTTTGAGTTCAAAGCAAACAGGTTTCCAGAAACAGCAATACATTTTGAGCATACAAGTACCTTAAGGAATTTACTTGAAATAGTTTTATTTTTAGAAGGTGTTATTTCTGGCTCTATTTATTTATTAGCATATACATAGGTGCATCTTTGGACAGTTAGTGATGCTAGAGGGATTGTGGTAGAGACTCCAAAATGGCTGTGGTTAATGTTCAGACTGTCCTCTATCTGTATTAGTGATGTTCGGTTCTTGAACGAATCGTTCTTCTGAGCTGGTTCTCATGAAGTAACCGACCGAGCCGGTTCACAGATCGAACTGAATTGAACTTTAGTTCCGGGTTGATGACGCAGGACGCACAGCCGAAGTAGCACGTCCAACTCAACAAGAACCGAATGATCCATGGCTAAGTTTGCCAAGGATTACCGAAGATTCTGATGAGTGAGTTGATGATACTGTGCAAACCTGAGGCGCGTACTGGAAATATGCTTATTATGAATGTTATTAATTTACATTTTATTAAAACCTGCAAAAACCTTTCTGTCGAGTGATGTAAATAAATTTTACAATAGTTTGTGCATGCATATTATATTTAAAGTTGCTTAAGCGAAATCAAGGAGTTTATATATTCATTCTTTATACTGTAGACATGTAGAACATATCCGCGTTTGTGCATCAGTGTCTGTAATGTGTGCTGTAGGTGTGAAACTTTTAGAAATCTTATCCAAGTTGTAGGCTAGTCAATATTGCTCAGTCAGTCGTATCTGACATAAAGGATCCGCGAATGAAACTGTGACCACAAACACCATTAACTAAAGTGAATTATATAGCAATAATCAGCAATATGCTTTCACACAAATAACTATTTTTTAATGTTTCACTATGTGTTGACACAAATTAGTTATTTGAATTTTTCATTGAGACAACATGGCATTGAGTTGTTAGAAAATAAATGCGTAGAGACGTTATTGCTTGATGACGTCAGGAACCGATTAATCGGCTTTTTGAACCGGTTCAATGAGCCGATCTGTCTGAAAAGAGCCGGTTCGCGGAAATGATTCAGACTTTGCATCACTAATCGGTGTACCAAATTTCACAATTTTAGGCTTCTATGGGCTGCCATAAGCTCAAGCGCGAAAGAAGAAGAAAAACACTAATCAGCATGCCAGACTCCCTCCCGTCTGTTCTCAATCACTGGACTTCTAATCATACTCATCTGTTACCGCTTACCTCATTATGAACTATATTTAAACACCACTTCCCCATTCTCAAGTGTCTATTTTTCTCTGTATCCAGTGAGTAAAAGACTCACCTGCCGTATTTACTTACCATTACCCACAATCTGTGAAATAGAAAGATGATTCTTTCAGTTAAGTTGCAGATCTTCTTTCTCCGTTGTTTACTTTTCTGTTAGGTTCTTGCCTCTGACGTTTGTCATTCACACTCTGTGTTTATCCTGTCCTCTGTGTCTGTTGACCTGCTGATTCCATTTGAAACATTCAGATAGTTGACATTAATGTTAAGAATGGAAAAAAGCTATGCAGTGTCAATTCAAGATACAAGTTGTAAAATAAAGAACAGCGATGCTTTTAAAATATTACTCACCTGTTTCAATCTGGCTTTCACCAGAGTTTTATTTTACCTCGGTTGCATGTCCTCTTGCAACATCCAGGAAGCTGCCGCCGCCACCCTGCTGACTAACAAAAGATATGTGGTATCGATTCAAACTGCAGGTTGTAAAATAGAGAACAGAGATGCTTTTAAGATATTACCCACCTGACTTGTTTTTCCATAAATTAAAATTTGTCATTCACCAGTTTTATTTGACTAAAGCTGCATCTCCTTTTGCAACAGTTTTAGTTTGGCATTCAACAGAGTTGTCTTTTACCTTTATCTAGATTTGATTTGCTCTTGAACGTTCCATTCCTTCTGTAAGAAATAACACAAGATCAACAGTATCATTTCAAACTACAGCTTAAACTGTAAAGAACAGAGAAGCTTTTAAAATATCACTCTGTGAGCCTACTTTTAGGTGGCGATCGAAATGCATACTGCAACATTTAAAATAAATAAATGAATAAATATATTACAAAAACTGTAGGCACCGTTGGTTCTTCTCAGCAGGAGCTGCTCCTCTTTTTTTCAATGGTATCATCATAGTAACGCTGAATCGTCACGGAGGAAAGCAGGAATACAGAGAGCTTTTACTTATGTTTTTAAATGAAAATTCATCATATCCACACATGAGCGTAAAATATTTGACATACAACAGAGCTCTCTGTATTATTTAGCACATTTAAAGGGTCATATGACGTTGCTAAAAAGAACATTATTTGGTGTATTTGGTGTAACGAAATGTGTTTATGCGGTTTAAGGTTAAAAAGACACATTTTCCACACTGTAAATTATTGTTTCTCCTCTATGCCCCGCCTTTCTGAAACACGTCGATTTTTACAAAGCTCATCGGTCTGAAAACGCAAGGTGTGCTGTGATTTGCCAGCTATCCAGTACAACACACTGGATAGCTGGCCAATCACAGCACACCTCGCTTTTCAGACCGATGAGCTTTGTAAAAATCGAAGCGTTTCAGAAAGGCGGGGCATAGAGGAGAAACAATAATGTACAGTATGTGGGAAATAATGTGTTTTTTTAACCTTAAACCACATAAACACATTTCATTACACCAAATAATGTTCTTTTTAGCAGCATCATATGACCCCTTTAACTTTTATAAAGAATATCTCTTTGGATTTGAGACTTTAGTCTTTGCAACTTTACAGATCTTCTTTATGCACCAAGAGCTTGTAACACTCCAAAGAGAAAGTAAAAAATGAAATCGCATCATATGACCCCTTTAAGGCAAAGAGGTACACATTTCACACATTTCTAGCAGTCTGTTTACATTATGTTGATATGAGAAAACTTTGATGCTCAACAAAGCAACAAGCTTTAAAAAAAACTTTTTTCCTACTGCTGAAAATTAGATCACTTACTGTGAAATCCGTTTTCTCTCAGGTACATCACCAGTTGAAGATTCGTGGTGAATACTTCTACAGCACTCAAACTTTTTCTTTATTTTTCAAATTAAGAAACATTTTCAATAAATGTTTATTTTATGTAAAAAAAATTTAAAAAGTTGTATTGCTTTAATGCACTCTCTGCATTAAAAAAGCTCTTCACTTTCAAAAGGTACAAATACGTAGTAGGATATAGCTACTGTATTAGGGTAAATAAGGTACAAAGGTCTACGTTTTTAAAGGGTACCGCCACAGTGACTGCATTTGTACCTTTTTTTCTGAGAGTGCATGTATACATATTTGCTGTTGGTTTAGTAAGAGACATCAGGGTCACTTACCTTGACCTCTTGAGTTTGACTAACACTTTACTGCCCCCTGCTGGTGCAACAGAGGGCTACATGTCCTGCCCTCACTTCTAATTCCATTATTTATGACATAACATGTTGTTCAAACTCAGCCCAGCATTTTGATGAAATCTTTTAGTAACATTATAAATGCAATTTACTGTCACCTTTAATGCATTAATTTAATGCATCCCTGCTGAAACCTTTACGGCACGACTGGTCTTCAACAAGCCTAAAAGGGCCCATGTCACACCTCTTTATCTCCCTGCACTAGCTCCCGGTTGCGGGACATTGCTGCTTGTGTATAGAACAGCCACAGGCTCAGCACCCACCTACTTCCACTCACTTTTGACAATCTACATTCCCTCCAGACGTCTGAGATCTATGAGTCGCTTTGGATAAAAGTGTCTGCTAAATGAATAAACGTAAATGTTTCTTTAGCATCAGATCAGCATATTAGACTGATTTCTGAAGGATCATGTGACACTGAAGACTGGAGTAATGATGCTGAAAATTCAGCTTTGAAACAGGAATAAATTGCATTGCACTTTTTTTTCATACCGATCTAAAAAGATTGAATTGCATTGTTTATATACGTATGTAAACTATGTATATGTACTGTAATATAAACTGATGGGACTGACAGAGTGGGGTTGGATGGGAGGTGGGAATCATGGGTGGGTGAGTTTAACAGATTTAGTGTCATCTTTCAGACTGGAGGGTAAGATAATATGTATCGACCATGCTAATCCTCTGATCCCTTACTACTTCCCCTCTACTTACCTTCATTTAACCCTCTTTTTACCACTTACTGTCTGCCAGTTATAGCAGTTTTTTCTGCATTGGTTTATCCAGATTACAGCTAATGCCCATGTTTGTGTGGTTGTTTTGAGGTTTTTTTAGGGTCAAACACAGACACTGTCACCAGACAAGCGTAATTAACTCTAGCCAACAGCCCACCTAGACAAAACACAACAAAACCTACCAGGACAAGAATGGAGTAATCTTTTCTTTTTTTCATAAATTAGCCTGCATATCTGGCTGTTGGTTGGTCATTTAGTTGATCAGTTCAGGACCATAAACGGACCACAAATATTTAGATGCAAATTATATTCAGAAATGATTATTTTTGTTTAATACTAATTACATGGTTACAGCTTTATACCACATAATTAGCAATAAACAAATACTGTACCAATAGTTATCATAACCCTAAGCCTAACTGTAAAGTTCAACATAATTTTAAACTTTAAAGCTGCAGTCCGTAACTTTTGACGCTCTAATCACGAATCACGCAGGTACTGGGCTGCTCCGCAGCGGTGACGACCCGAACTAGTCTAAAATAGTCCGGATATAAACATTTAGGTGTACCGTAGTGATTATTCAGGATAAGACAAAAACACGGTTTGGAAAATGGATTCATGGTGTGCTCGCTTGTTAATTTTGAACACAAAAAAAAGTTACGGACTGCAGCTTTAATTTTAAAATCACCGCGCTTGGTGAAAAATAATAATAAAGAGGAGACTAAAATAATATACTAATTACATGGTTACAGCTTTATACCACATAATTAGCAATAAACAAATACTGTACCATTAGTTATCATAACCCTAAGCCTAACTGTAAAGTTCAACATAATTTTAAACTTTAAAGCTGCAGTCCGTAACTTTTGACGCTCTAATCACGAATCACGCAGGTACTGGGCTGCTCCGCAGCGGTGACGACCCGAACTAGTCTAAAATAGTCCGGATATAAACATTTAGGTGTACCGTAGTGATTATTCAGGATAAGACAAAAACACGGTTTGGAAAATGGATTCATGGTGTGCTCGCTTATTATATAAATTTTGTTAATTTTGAACACAAAAAAAAGTTACGGACTGCAGCTTTAATTTTAAAATCACCGCGCTTGGTGAAAAATAATAATAAAGAGGAGACTAAAATAAGACATTTAAAAGATGAGATGATTTCACTCTCTTAAATATCAAACATTTTATTCATTTCTTCTAAAAATGACACAACAGGGTTGAACTAAATTTGCAAAAAATGTAGGCCTACATTAAAGGCATGATATTTTAATTTCAGTAAATTCACCAAAATGAATCAGTAAGAGTTGAACGAATCACTAAAAAGTGTAACTCTTTGGTGCATTAAAAGCAATGGTCTGTTCGAGCACATGTCAACTTCTGATTTGACTATCGTCATTAGTTTAAGGCAGGACTATCAGTTTCTCTGCTCGGTGACAAATGAGGGGAGAAGTACTGATGAAACCTACTCAATTAGAGTTATTAGTGGTGCTTGTGTCACTATTATCAAGTCACATACTTGTTCATGCTTTGCGTCATACTTCGGTCGGTGATGCTTCAAATTGTTTAGATTATTGAGGAGATGTGCTAATATTGCGTTGTGTAGTTATTCGTTATTGATGGAACAGTATTTTAAAGTGTTACCGAACAGTTCTTAAAAGAATCATTGTTTAGTGTGAAGAACAGTGATGCATGGGCTGGGAAGCATGCGCATGATTAATGCCTATTCAGTATTTTGTGGGGACGCTGCAGCGACTGGGAGTGCTGGGATGAAATAGTTAATCTGTAGCTTGTAACAGTGTTAGAGTGGATTAGGACATGTATCTGCAGGATCAGATGGGGACACAGCGGTGGGGTGCTGGAGGGTCTGCTTGCTCACTTTGGAATCTGCATTAAAATCCATGTATATACTTCTAGTTTTGATATAGGAATGAATTTCAGAATGAAAATCTTCCATTCTGACTGGCCAAATTTGCTTGGCTTTCTCTCCTTTGCATAGTTTAATTTTTCTCATTCTACATGACCTCATTTGAGGTTATGTTTGGGGTAAAATCAGGGCATTTGCAGCTTTTGGTTACTGGATATAAAGTAATCCCAATTCTATTTTATGTATGTATGTATGTATTTACATTTTACAAGAGTACTGGTAGTGGTGATTTGTGATTCCTTTCTAAAGGTATTATTCAAGGATATATCAGTCACTTAAAAAAAAAAGTATTTTAAAAATTAGGTATCAGATCTAAAGATGTTTCCACTGAACTTACTAGAAGAGTTTTTAGCAATCCCTTTCACTGTATGTGCTGTCATGTATAAACAATTTTATAAACTGTTGGATATGTCATTTTATTGTATAATGTCCATTTTAAAAGTAGTTTAGAAGAACAAGATCCACTAAGAAATTCTCACATGTAACTGTAAGCTTGTGTCTAATGTGTGTGTGTGTGTGTGTCAGAGAGATTACATGTCTCACTGTATTACTCCCAGTGTCTAAATCAGATTTACTCCGGCATTATTACCACATTGATTCCTCAATGAGACATTATTAGGACTTCAGATTAACAACTTCAGCCCCCCAGGATCACTAAAAGTGCTAGTTTGGCAATTTTTGCCCACCATTAACCTTCTGCGATTACACTGTGCTGAACACACCAAGCCACAAAAACAAAAGCCTTGTCATGCACAAGATATTATTACTTCTAAATTATTGTGAATGTCAGGATGCCTATTGGAATCGCTTTCCAGTCCAACTAATTCTCAATCTTACCAAGGGCCAAATGAGAATCATCTATAAATATATATAAAGAGAACTCTACATTTTCTTTTTTGCTACAAATTGCAGAATTTGTACTTCTATTGGAATAAAGTCTTGCTATATGACAGTTTTAAAACAGTATATGATGCGATTTCAATTGTTCCTTTCTCTTTGGAGTGTTACAAGCTCTTGGTGCATAAAGAAGATCTGTAAAGTTGCAAAGACTAAAGTCTCAAATCCAAAGAGATATTCTTTATAAAAAGTTAAGAGTCAGCCACACCTACCTAAAACGGCTCGTTCTAACACGCCCCCACATGTCTACATCACTATGTGGGAAGATTTGCATAACGCCGCCCAAATGTTCACGCAAAGAAAGAAGGCTGCTCACTCAAGCCCGCCGTGTGTGACGCTGTGTTTGGTTGTAGAGTAGACTACAATGCCGGCTGTTCTGACTGAAAGACTGTAAGTACGTTTTTCACATTTAAAGGATTTGCCACTGATGATTCAAACGTGAGTTTTGGGCAGTGTAGAGTAGCGCTTGTTGTTTGTCATTTCTTCGATCACAAATGCAGACATGGTTTTATGTTTACGCGGCGCGATGCAACGCAACGCGTAAAAAGACAGTATAAGTCATTATAATCCGTAATTATGTCCCCACTGGATGCAACAAATGCCTCGTTTATAATGGGTTTTAATGTTTTTGAATCATCGCTCCGGCCGTAGATGAGTTTTGTAAAAATGTACGTGTTTCAGAAAGGCGGGGCATAGAGGAGAAACAATAATGTACAGTATGTGGAAAATAATGTGTTTTTTTAACTTTAAACTGCATAAACACATTTCATTACACCAAATACACAAAATAATGTTATTTTTAGCAACATCATATGACCACTTTAAGGATCCTGAATGATTTCCTTTTGAGTATTGTCCTAAAAGTTCTAGTTATAGTCGATTATTTGGGATTGCTTAAATGAAGATATAATTGTACTACTATTACAGTTTTTGCCTAATTTTACTGATCCTTTGTAGAATAGATTAGGACTGTTATACTGAAAGGTCAGAGCTGATGTTTCAGTCAGTGCACTAGGTGGCAGCATGTAATGACTCTCTGATTGCTGTGAACCAAATGAGCTCATCAGTCTGTCTGTTTGCTCTATGAATAATGTAATAAAAATTGGTCATGTTAGACATACATACACCTATATATATATATATATATATATATACACACATACATACATACATGCAGGTGTGACGGGTCATGTGGTTTCAAAAAAACGCCAGCAAATTCATGCATTTCCTGTATCTTTCTTTTTTATATATACATTTAAAGTTTTAAGTTTTGGAAGTCAACATTTTAAATCCTACGGTAATGGTTTTGTAAAAGTCCTTGCCTATTTGTTTCTATTGTTAGTTTTATAATTAGATTTGTAACATCTTATTTTAAAACTGTACAGGAGAAATTAAAGAAGTGTGCTGGCCATTTGACAGTTTACCATTTTTAGTATTAGATGATTGGTGGAAAAACGACAGGAGAGAGAGAGAGAGAGAGAGAGAGAGAGAGAGAGAGAAAGAGAGAGAGAGAGAGAAAGAGAGGATGGGGATTTGGAGCGGGGGTCAGAGGGGGAGGGCTGGGGCTCTGTTATTGGCAATCAGCTCCAAAGTGGCTCACACACACACACACACACCAAACACATGCTCTCACACTGACACACACACTCATATACACACACTGGCAGGAATCAATCTGTCAGTCAATACCTCAGGATGTGTCCACATGAACACACGGTAAGAAATATGGACATTTTAAAACAGTCTTTTTCTTCCGTTGTCTCTCCATTTCTCACTCTGTCGCTCTGTAGTTGTGCTAGTTTTATCCTGACACTCTTTTTTACCCTCTTTTGTTCTCTCGCTCTTTTATTCCACTCTCAAATCCTCTCTTTTCGCACTTTATCTACTCTTTTATTCTTTCTGTAAAACTAAAGACCATCTAAAACAATTGAAAGTAAACCGTTCTCTTACCAGCTATCTAAAATAATGATTTAAATAATGATTGTTACGACTTAAAAACAGTTTTATAAGTTTATTAATGCTAATATTTCAGTTAAAGATGGAATTACAAATTAATGTTTAATAATTAAATGATTTTAATCTATTAAAACGAATAATTACTGATTCAAACTAACACTTTTTCTTCAAATTCAAGTTTGCAGTTTTAGTAGTTTATAATATAGCCTCTTAATTTAAGGTTGCCTACTTCGCTTAATATTAAGTGAAACAGATTTATCATTATTCAAATTTTAGTACATGTTCATTTTAAATACTTTATGAAAGTTTTCAGTTATTAAAATGAATTCCTGCCTAATGTCAAGATGTTTCTGTACTAAAATGTTAAAAAAAAAAAGATTTTCCAAAGAAAATTGAATTAGTTGAAGCTGTAATACTTGAAACCTAAAATATTTATTTATTATTTAATCTTCATATTTGAATATTTTTAATAGATTTAGTTTATGATCTAACCATTTATGTGTGACTCTTTGCTTGCAACCGTATAAAAAAAAATAAATAAATGAAATATTTGACATTTGATTTTTTTTTATCAATTTCAACATATGGATTGTCAGTTCCAAAATATATAAACTTGTGTCATCTCAAACTGCCACAGTGTTCGGTTTTTAACACAAAATGCTTTGAATGGTGCTTTTCCCTGTAGATAAGATGTGTTAGTTGGTCTGTTACCATGAATACTTGGACCTGTATTTCATCAGGCCTGACAACATTAAATATTCTTTGAGTTGTACATAACACTTGTGTTAAGGAGCAACTGTTCAGTGGGATAACTAGATTGATGGATTAAGATTATGGGATTGCATTTAGGTCTTTCCTCTGTTAATCTGAAACTGTTTGCAACCCATACATCAACAGGATACATAATTAGCCAATAAAGGAAAAGTCGTTTAGTTCTGTAATTTTTCAAGAAAAATAATTTCTTACATTGCTTTTTTATATTTTAATTATTTAATAAAGGTGTCACTATCAACCTATATTGTAATATCAGGCCAGGCTTTGGAATCTTTTTGTCTAATGTGACATAAACTTCCAGAACATCAGTCAGTATGTTACTCATTACCTGCTAATGTAGTCCTACTATAATTGGTCACAGATTACCATCAGTGTTCGGTTTTTAACACAAAATGCTTTGAATGGTGCTTTTCCCTGTAGATAAGATGTGTTAGTTGGTCTGTTACCATGAATACTTGGACCTGTATTTCATCAGGCCTGACAACATTAAATATTCTTTGAGTTGTACATAACACTTGTGTTAAGGAGCAACTGTTCAGTGGGATAACTAGATTGATGGATTAAGATTATGGGATTGCATTTAGGTCTTTCCTCTGTTAATCTGAAACTGTTTGCAACCCATACATCAACAGGATACATAATTAGCCAATAAAGGAAAAGTCGTTTAGTTCTGTAATTTTTCAAGAAAAATAATTTCTTACATTGCTTTTTTATATTTTAATTATTTAATAAAGGTGTCACTATCAACCTATATTGTAATATCAGGCCAGGCTTTGGAATCTTTTTGTCTAATGTGACATAAACTTCCAGAACATCAGTCAGTATGTTACTCAGTACCTGCTAATGTAGTCCTACTATAATTGGTCACAGATTACCATAATGTAACCCTGGACCACAAAACCAGTCATAAGGGTCAATTTTTCGAAATCTGAAAGCTGAATAAATAAACTCTCCATTGATGTATGGTTTGTTAGGATAGGACAATATTTGGCTGAGATACAACTATTTGAAAATCTGGAATCTGAGGGTGCAAAAAATAAGTAAAATAAAAATATTCAGAAAATCTCCTTTAAAACTGTACAAATGAAGACCTTAGCAATGTATATTACTTAGTGTTGATATATTTACAGTAGGAAATGTACAAAATATCTTCATGGAACATGATCTTTACTTAATATACTAATGCTTTTTGGCATAGAAGAAAAATCAATAATTTTTACCCATACAATGTTTTTTTGGCTATTGCTACAAATATACCCCAGCGACTTAGGACTGGTTTTGTGCTCCAGGGTCACATATAGTATCTGCACCATATAGCTGGAGAAGACTAATGGCTAATCACTATTTTTTCTCTCTCTTTCTCTTTGCCAGTTTCAGATGATAAAACGGGAACCCTTCAGTTCAAAGGAACAGGCATTTTAACAAACGAGTCTAATTTGGCACATTATTGTTTCCATCTCTGTGTAAAAACGGAAGTCTGTTGTTGTTCGCCTTGAAAACTCAGAGACAACAACCATACTTCCTGTCGACACAGCAATGTCTTCGTCTCTGCCGCTGCCCTCTTTGCCTCCAAGCCCCCTGGCCATGGAGTATCTCAATGACTTCGACCTGCTAAAGTTTGAAGTGAAGCCTGACACCCCTCCACCTCCTCCAACCTGCCTATACCCCAATTCAGGCATCCATCAAGAGACGACCGGTTCTCCATATGCTCCTCGCCCTCCTCCTGACTCCAGCCTCAGCTCCAGTCCCTACACCTCCCTTCCTCCATCACCCACGCTCAGTGACGGACACCCGCCACCATCTGCATCCTCCTCTTCCTCCTCTCTCTCGTTCCCGCTGTCCATCTCCACCGGGTACATGTCAGGCCAGAGCTCCGGCTCTCAAGGAAACCTGGACGGGAGCCCAGCCGCTGGGGGCCCCACGCCGTGTTCAAACCCCACCTCCTTGGAGGACCTGCTTTGGTTGGCTGCACTGCAGCAGCAGTTCGGTGGGGAGCCCGGAGGTGCCGCGTCTCTGCTGGGAGCTCTTGGAGGAGTGCCGGATCGAGGGGACCGGGATCGAGGAGGGTTTCTAGGATGTGAGGATGCAGTGGAGGCCCTGCTGAACTCTGCTGCAGCCGCTGTAACTTCACAGGTATGATCTAAGATATTTGGACCATGTAGTTGTTTGTCCCAAGCAGGGTTGCAAAAAGGTGGAAAATTTCCAGTAAATTTGGGAAACATTCCAGACATTTTGGAAACTTTCCAGGATTTTTTTGGGAATATTCCAGGGATTTTTGGAAAGTTTCCGGAAATTTGCCGGAAACTTTCCACCCCTTTGCAACCCTAGTCCCAAGTGAATGAAGAAAATCAGGCCCTTTTAAACACCGGGCGCAATGCGGCGCCAGGCGCGATGCAAGTGTTTCTTGCTGGTTTCTTGCTAGTGGCTGCGCCACGTTGTTGAAATAGCAAATGCAATTGCGCCTATTACTATTTGTTCGCCCATGGGTGTGCTTGTCTGAATACGAGGTGTATTCAGGCGCATTGATGGCGGGTTGCTATTTTGAGGCAATTGAAATAGACTGCACCATTGACCAACTAAAACCTGGTCTAAAGTCAATGGTGCAGTATTATTCTTTTTTTGTTATTTAAAGAGTGTGTTAGTAATACGCGCCTATAGGCGGGTCCACAGCGTACACTTTACTTATTACACACACAGAGACTCGCAGCAGCACACAAACATGCCAAATATTAAAAATTAAAGGATTAAAATTTAAAAGATTATTATTGTGTACATAAATATAAAAATGCCTATACGTCATAATCAGTAGTCATTGCATGTATCAGAATTAGCCTACCTATTTGCAGTAGCAGATCCATTTCCTTGCTAGAGAAGCGCTCAGTTTTTCCGCTTGCAAATTTCGCCATGTAAATAGCTAATCAACCATGGCGCTAGCGCAACTGGCTCTTATAGGGAATGGGAGATGAGACTCTGATTGGTTTATTGCACATTATGCCCAAAACACACCCATGACTCATTAAGAGAATAAGGACAACCCTTTTAGGCCATGCGCTGGGCGCGCCGATCATTTTTCCCGTCGTTAACTAGCAAAAGTGGATTCGGACACGCCCTAAGTGCACTTGCGTCGTGCGCTTTAGACCATGTGCTTAGATCGTTAAAATAGGGCCCTGAAGCTCAATTTCAGACACAAATGTGTTGAAAAACACAATACATGAAGCAATGCGAGTACATGTTGCATTCTTAAGCCCAAAGTATACTTCGCTTTTGTACATGTATGCTAGCGTATGCGTACAGCCGAATGCGCAGACTTTCGAAGTATATTTCATTTGATAGCATGCATGAACGCAGGCAGTCGACACATCTTAGGAGGCAGATGATGCCAGTTCTGGAAGGTAATTATACAAAATCATTTTGATAATGTACTTTCACTCGGGTTATTAAAACAACGTTTGCAATGAGATCAGTCCACTGGTTCGTCTAGTTATCCAATCACGTGAGCTGTTGAGGCAGTCACGTGAGTTTTTTCTTGTGTATCAAGGAACTTTTTGGTAAATGTTTTTCCATCATAGTTTATGCACATGATTTTTTATTTTATAGGCCAGGGGTTCTCAATCCTGGTTTAGGAGCCCCCCGCCCCCCAACACTTGTCTCATTTATCTGCACACCAATTTCACGTCTTGGAGTCTCTACTAATGAGCTAATGACCTGATTCAGGTGTTTTTGATTAGGGAAATACACAAAACAATTTTTTTTAATCCGGGAACAGGGTTGAGGACCACCGGCCAAGGGAAACCACTGGTCACAGTAACCACTGGCCAAATGTGTTTGTCCAAATGTGCCATTTTCATTGTAATCTCTTTCTAATGTGCTCTTTGTAATCTCTTCCGCAGTTCCCAGTTTTGTCCCAGAGTTCGAGCAGCAGTCACATGGGTGACTCCAGCAGTGACAGCGGTGTTGATGTTGTTCTTAACAAGCCGTCAGACATGTGTCACCGGCCTATACTGGTCGTTTCTTCCACCCCTCCATCTCTCAACACATCCACCAGTCCCTTCTCACAACCCCTCAGTCCACAGAGCCGCCTCCATCACCCACACTATCCAATGCAAGGCCATTATCATCATCATCATCATCATCTGCAAGTCACTCAGGTACTTGCAGTCACTAATTCATCCTCCTAAAATGGTTGTCAGCACAGTCACGTGCATGTACTCAACAGCGATCAGATTAAGTTCCCAAAATAATTTTCAGCTTTTCAGGAAACACTTCCAAAGGTGAGGAAAAAATGAGAAAACTCTTTTAAAAGTGAATTTGGCCTTTCTATATTTAGGGATTCACATTTTTCACATTTTGAACTATAAATGGTTGGTGATTTTGTTTTGAAGTGTGTTGAAAGCAATTTGATGGATGTGGCTTGTGAATGCCTGTCTCTAAATGTGGAGCAGCGCTATCAGATTATGGTAATATCTACTATTATTGTGATGTAATCCTGATCACTGTCACTTACACTCAGTCAGATTATGCTGTATGGAAATGTGCTGCCAAAATCACACACACACTACACTACACCTCTAGGCCAAACTATATTACACACATACACACAAAGCTCATACATTTTTGTTTTATTGTTATATTATCCAACGTGATGTCATTGCCTCATGGCTTTTGTGTCACTGCTAGAGTTGTGATCAAACCAGTTGATATCAACAACATAAGCAAGTTCATTGATAGTTACTATAGAGTTGATTGATTGATTGATTTTCAGTTAAGTAGTTTTGGTTGCAGTTGAAACATTATTAGTGACAAATAATTCCAGTCTGCCACCAATTTGCCTAAACAGTTATGAACTGCGAGTTTGAGAGTGACTGATTTTTAAAAAGGAATTTGTTCTCAGTGATGTTTCAATTGCAAACAAAACTACTTCACTGAAAATGCATGCATGCATACATACATAAATCTTGTAGTAGAAAAATTTGAACTTGCTCAGCTGTATGACTATTGCAGGTTTTTTTATTATTATCATTACTGTTGTGGTTATTATCTTGTCATGGTTTTTACAGTTGTTGATATCAACTGGATTGAATACAATACTATTAGCACCACAAAAGCAATAAGGCAAAACAAACTACACTAAATAAATAATCCTTCTATATGACTGCACTCTAAAAAATGCTGGGTAAAATAGGGACAAACCCAGCAATTGGGCTGTTTTGACCCAGCGGTTGGGTTACTACCCAGAAGGTTGGGTTAAACATTTAACCAAACCGCTGGGTCAAAACAACCCAATTGCTGGGTTTGTCCCTATTTTACACAGCACTGGGTTGTATTTAACCCAGCATTTTTTAGAGTGTGTGCTGTTTTGTACTGTTCAGTACATCAGACATTTCAACCGCTGTGTGCTAATCATTTATCCGTTATTGTCCATGTGAGTGTTTGATAAAGCGTTGATTGTCATTATCACACTTTGTGTCCATTCCGTGACAAATCTCTCAGACTTACCTCTTATTGTCTCTTTCTCTTTCAGTGCGGGGTGGATGAGCATTTTTCCGATGAGCAGTTGGTAAGTCTGTCAGTGCGAGAGCTGAACAGACATTTGCGTGGGGTAAGCAAAGATGAGGTGGTCCGTTTGAAACAGAAAAGACGGACGCTGAAGAATCGCGGTTATGCCCAGTCCTGCCGTTACAAACGACTCCAGCACCGGCACGCGCTTGAGTCCGAGAAGCACATTCTCACACAGCAGGTACACTATCAAGCACTGAAACATGACAGAAATTAGACACATACAACCACAAACAACAAAAGTTAATTATAACCAGTGTTGGGGAAAGGTGCTATTAAAAGTAATGCATTACAATATTGTGTTACTCAATAAAAAAGTAACTTTAAATGAAGTTCCAAACGTAGGTTCGGGAGGAGCCTGATCATTCAGTCCTGTCAATCTTCATCACGAGCCTATACAAGCAGCTCTCATTGCGCCATCCCAGCTTCAATTCGTCCGGCATCCCTCCACCTCCCCATCTCCTCCTCTATTTTTGTTTTTCTCCCTCTAGGTAGTATGGGGGGTTGAACTCGGCGCTCAAGCTGAGCCTCGGGTTCGATCCTCCATTGAGGACTGCAAGCCAAGTTCGTTTACCATTAACAATAAGGACTGAAAGTAACATAAAGTAATGCATCTAGCGGCTTCCTTGTTTAATTTTAAACGTTCTAAAAAGTTATATTTTTGAAAAAAATGTAAAAGCCCTTTCACTCAAATATGTACGGAGCCCCGCACATGACATGCAAGAAAAAAAATTGTGGGCACGATGTATTAATTTGTTCCCTCGATTTACTAGATCCTGCACACGATTTAATAGGCTAATTTGTTCCGTTGTTTTAAGTAAATCGTGCACTCAATATAATAATTCGTGCCCTCGTTCTAAGTAAATCGTGCAGCGCCGGTAGAGTTCTCCAATTATTAGTATGCGATGTAAATGCCTCTCACTTAAAATGATTCCATGCAACGCTGCAAGGCTTTTGAGAATGTCTCTATAACTCATTCCCTACTCAAAATAAAACCCAATTAAAGTGTCTCTGTCCATAACATAAAATAACTTGACATAACATATAGCAGCAACATGTTTATGAGTATGCGTACGCGGACAGGAAGTACAACTAATTATAATTTCGTGTGCACGATTTACCTAGAACGAGGGCACGGATTATTATATATCGAGTGCACGATTTACTTCAAATGAGGGAACGAATTATTAAATCGTGCACACAATCTAGTAAATCGAGGGAACTAATTAATATATCGTGGCCACGATTTTTACTTTTTTTCTTGCATGTCATGTGCGGGGCTCCGTAGATATGTATAACAGTAGTAAAGAAAAGATGATCACTATTTCCATTAGAAAGTTAATAGCAATCAACATGATTTTAGTATTTATGATTTCTCTCTGTTTTGGTTCCTCTAGCTGGAGCAGCTGCAATGTGAGCTGTCTCGCGTGTTAAGAGAGCGAGACACATACAAAGCTCGTTACGAGAAGCTCATCAGTTCAAACGAGACTCAGCCTTCCCATCCCAACACCTCGCCTTCTCCTACTCCTCCGGATTACTTTTTGTGACAAAATAAACATTGTACAGAAGAGAATTGAAGGAGAGCTGATTATTGTGATGGGTGAAAGTAATTCAAAAGAGCTGTGACTACAACTCAACTTAAAATAAGCTATTAAACCAAAGCAGGTTGATTGTGAGGTGGACCTGGATTGTGACATAATGGCGTCATGCTACTGCTGATGGGATTGCGTTTTTGCCCATTGTGAGCTTGTGTAGCAGCAACATGATTTCATTAGCATTCATAGGTATTCATACACAAAAGGGTTCTAGCATATTTTGAGATTTGGATCAAATCAACGTAATGACAGCATTTAAAACATAAAGTATTTTACGTATTTATAGTGAATGAATTAAAGGAATGAATAGGTGGATTTTATTGTTTTTATAATAAATAAGATTTATTAAATATGTTGGCTATTTATTTATTTAGCACATTAACAATTTTTGAAATTATATTGGTTTCATTATATTCTATATGAATCAATAAATTGGTAACATTTTATATCTTTGATGATTCAGCCATAGAAAGCCTGCATATGACTTAAAGGGTTAGTTCACCCAAAAATGAAAATTAGTCCATAAATTACTCACCCTCAAGTCATCCAAGGTGTATATGACTTTCTTCTTTCAGACGAATCCAGTTGGAGGTATATTAAAAATGGTCTTTGATCTTTCAAGCTGTTTAATGCCACTCAGCGGGTGTTGCATGCATCAGTCCAAAAGCAGTTAAATAAAATTCGCCCATCCATAAAAAAGTGTCTCACACGGCTCCAGGGGGTAAACAAAGACCTCCTGTAGCGAATCAATGCGTATTTGTAAGAAAAATATCCATATTCAAAACATTAATCTAGCTTGTGCTCACTGTTGTAAACGGAAGCAGTTGAGGGTGAGTAATTTGTGGGCTAATTTTCATTTTTGGATGAACTAACCCTTTAAAGGGACAATTCACCTAAAAATGAAAATTCTGTCATCATTTACTCACCCTGATGGTTTTCTAAACCTGCATGAAATTCTCTCTTTGGCAGTATGGAAAAAAATACTATAGAAGTGAATGGCTATCATCAAATGTTTGGTTACCCACATTCTTCAAAATATCTTATTTTGAGTTCAGCAGAAGAAAGAAATTCACACAGGTTTAAAACAATGACAGAATTTCCATTTTTGGTGAACTGTCCCTTTAAGTCTTCGGGGGTTACTTTTATTAGACCCATGCAGAGTTCATTTATGAATACATTTGACTTGAAAAAAAGGATTTTCCATCATTTACAAGTATGTAAAAACCAAACTGGTATTCTCACTTGTTAGAGGATTCCTCTAAGGATAAGACTGGTTTACTTGTGTAAAAACATTTACATTTTAATTGCTGTTAATATAGATATTGTACAGTTTTAGTGTCTCAACGTACAAAAAAGTATGTGTGCATATTTTCTGCTAATACCTATGAATACGAATGAGATCACCCATGGTAGCACAAAAGGCTTGCTATCTCATTGTGTTGAGCTATTTGTGATGATGAGTTTAGTTCTTACGAGAGTTTCATTAGCACATTTATTTGGCATTCACCAAAATGACTGTTAGAGATGTACATCTATGAAGAACTGCTGACTTTTTGAGCAAGAATGCAACACATGTAGAATCTATGATTATGTGTATAAGCCATCTGTGTGATATTTTCATAGTAGCTGCAACTCACTGAAAAGCAATGCAATCAACAACCAAACACAAACCAAGTGAAAAACATTAAATAACTTTGAGTGACTGTGTCTTTGGAAGTTACATTTTATGATTAAGTTAAGGGTGTAATTTAACTGTGACATCAAATTCATTTAGCAATTCACAGAGCTGGTCACTGTGGGTGTTAGTAGATGCCTATTTAGAGGCAGACTTTTCTAGGAGGTTTACTTGGCTCGCCATAGGTTTATAAATTAAAATGTATCTGGCTATTTTCATTAATTCACAGTATTTATTCATTGTTTGTAATGTGATAATTGTGTTCATTTGATAGTGTGTATTAATTTCATTAATATTTTGTAGCAGGATAAAAAATATAAGAAAGATTATATTCATTATGCTCTGTTTGTAGTGGTTTCTTATGAAATAAACATACTTTTACCATTAATGATTTCGCCATGGATTGTGGACTGTACAACTGACTCATTCATCTGACGTGTCATACTGTATTTTAACTCATTTTACTTTATTTTATTTTATTGTTTTCCCTGAGGTCCATTTATAATGTTCATGAAGTTATTTGACCAAGACATTACCATTTTCAACCCTGTTGGGGCTTCTTCTTATTTAAAGGAATAGTTCACCCAAAAATAAAAATGTACTCTCTCTCAGGCCATCAAAGATGTAAATGAGTTTGTTTCTCCATCTAAACAGATGGAGAAAAAATAAGCATTGCATCACTTGCTCACCAATGGATCCTCTGCAGTGAATGGGTGCCATCAGAATGAGAGTCCAAATAGCTGATAAAAACATCACAATAATCCACACCACTCCAGTCCATCAGTTAACATCTGGTGAAGTGAAAAGCTGCATGTAACCAATCCATCATTAGAGCACTTGGAAAAGTCCATCTCCTGTTGTCCTCTCTCATCAGATAGGATAGGTCCAAGGTATCTTGGAGGGGTGAGGTGTCCAAGTCGCAACATCTAACTACTGGGGTGCCTCAGGGCTCAGTTCCTGTACCACTTCTCTTCTCCGTCTACATGGCATCACTAGGTTCTGTCATTCATAAACATGGCTTTTCATATCACTGCTATGCTCATGACACTCAACTCTACCTCTCATTCCATCCTGATGATCCGACGATAGCTGCTCGCATCTCAGCTTGTCTAACAGACATTTCTTGCTGGATGAAGGACCATCACCTTAAACTCAATCTTGCCAAAACAGAACTGATAGTTCAAGCTCCAGTTCTGTCCTATATTGCAACATCCTCTTGGCAGGTCTTCCAGACAGTTCTATCAACCCTCTGCAACTAACCCAGAATGCGGCAGCAAGAGTAGTCTTTAACCAGACATAAGGCATGTCACACCTCTGTTCATCAGTTTGCACTGGCTACCGATAGCCGCTCACATAAAATTCAAGGCATTAATGTTTGCCTACAAAACAACCACTAGCTCTGCACCCATTTACCTAAATTCACTACTTCAGACTTACGTGCCCTCTAGAAGCTTGCATCCCAAAGAGGCACAACATTACTTTCACAGACTTTTACCTTAACTGATGCCTGCCGGTGGAACGATATAAATACTGTTCGGTTTCTTGCACAGACCGATCGTTTTGTGTCTTTACACATCAATGTGTCATCACAAGCCACAGGGTTTAATTTGGTTTTGTTTCTGCATGTTTTATGACTCTCAAAGCTGTGATTCCCATCCACTTACATTATACGACTGACAGACTGCAACGGTTTGAGTTAAAAATCTCCGTTTGTGTTCTACTGAAGAAACAAAGTCACCTACATCTTGGATGCCCTGGGGGTAAGCAGATAAACATCACATTTTCATTTTTGGGTGAACTATCCCTTTAAGGTAAGCTAAAGTGAACTTAATTTTAACAAAAGATAACTTGACAGGTCTCAAAAAAACAAACTCTGCTCAGCACTACCGTGTCTTCTGTGTTTTATTACTGCATGTGTCCAAAACCTCTTAAAGAGGTGCTCTTAACCTTCTTATTAAAGAGACAGTAATCAGATTAACCGGGGCCATAGCATTTATATGCTAAGAGATGCAATATAAGTCGAACTAAATTCATACAAATGAATAAATAAGACAATAATTTAAACCAATAATAAATAAACACTTTAGGGGAATAAATACTAAATAAAACTATTCTTGGCAGCATTCATGTTTTCTTGTGTAAAACCTAGTTTTAGTTGGCCCCAGTTTTTGAAAGCTTTATTTCCTGTCCATCTCTTTCGTTTCAAATGTGTCTCTGTGATTGTTTCTTTTCCACTGCTCTCTCTTTGTGTCTCTTTGTGAATCTGACCCTGGATGAGAGTTGTTTCGGATGAGCTCACGTTTGTCCCTCCTCCCTCTTTCTCTCTTTCTGTCTCTCTCTCGGCAGAGCACAAAGCCACGGGGATTATGGGTATAATAGAGCACGGGCCGCTCTCTGCCGGGCCTCATTGTCTATGAGAGGGGCACTATTGTGGACAGGACATACACACACTCACCCCACGGCTGTGCTATACACACATATCTAAACAACCACACACAAAACACACAAACTCAATTTTTTCCCCAAAATTACGTATACAATAATAATAGATAGCAAAATCTATTATTAGTAAGCTTACAATAGCTTGTATGCTGTACAGAAAAAAATCTACAAAGCTGTCACTGGGGCAGTAACCTTAGGTACAAAAGCTAAAAGGTACGTTTTTGCACCAGATTTACCCCTAAATGGTATATATTAGGAACCTTAAAGGGGTCATATGACGTTGCTAAAAAGAACATTATTTTGTGTATTTGGTGTAATGAAATGTGTTTATGTGGTTTAAGGTAAAAAAAACACATTATTTTCCACATACTGTACATTATTGTTTCTCCTCTATGCCCCGCCTTTCTGAAACGCGTCAATTTTTACAAAGCTCATCGTCTGAAAAGTGAGGTGTGCTGTGATTGGCCAGCTATCCAGTGCATTGTGATTGGCCGAATACCTCAAGCGTGAGACGGAAATGTTACGCCCCTCACCATACTGTGATGCCCTGTCCCTGAGCGACGAGACAAAAACATTAAAACCCATTATAAACGAGGCATTCGTTGCATCCAGTGGGGACATAATTACAGATTAAAATGACTTATACTGTCTTTTTACGCGTTGCGTTGCATAACGCAGCGTAAGCATAAAACCATGTCTGCATTTGTGATCGGAGAAATGACAAACAACAAGCGCTACTCTACACTGCTCAAAACTCGTGTTTGAATCATCAGTGGCAAATCCTTTAAATGAAAACATACTTGCAGTCTGTGAGTCAGAACAGATGGCATTGTAGCCTACTCTCCCAGGATCAGGAAACAGTCCTCCATAAAATGTACTGCACACATCTGAATATTTGGGTTGAACTGTTCTGGAACAGTGTTGTAAATACAACTTAACCACTGATTTCTAGTCGTGTCCTCATTTGGAAGACCAAACAAAGTAGCGTCTTCACGACATGGCAGCAGTGGCAACAATACTACAGCGAGAATAAAAGTTATGCCTTCTTTCTTTGCGTGAACATTTGGGCAGCGTTATGCAAATCTTCCCACATTGTGATGTAGACATGTGGGGGCGTGTTAGAACGAGACGTTTTAGGAGGGCGTGGACGAGTCTTAACTTTTATAAAGAATATCTCTTTGGTTTTGAGACTTTAGTCTTTGCAACTTTAGGGATCTTATCTATGCACAATCAGCTTGTAACACTCCAAAGAGAAAGGAAAACTTGAAATCGCATCACATGACCCCTTTAAAGGTACATATTAATTCTTTAAAAGTGCATTTTATCTAAAGGGTACCAGCCCTGTGACAACTTTGTGCCTTTTTTCTGAGAGTGTGTAGATAGCAAACTATTGCGGACTCAAAAATTCTGAGAATTTATTTCCATTT